ACAAACTTTGACAAACTTTGATGAACTTTGATGAACTTTGATTTGCCAGCATACACATGCTCATGAGGTAAAGGCTTCACAAGTTGTGTGATACAACTTTGACCTACCTATCACATGTATGGTAGTTGTCCAGCTGTGACAGAACAGAAATACTGTTGAAAGTAGTATCCTACAGTTCACTCTCTCACCCAGCCAGACCTTTGCAACAAGACTCAGTGTGTTGAGGTGTTCAAACAAACTGTGTCCTGAATATATGACAGCTGAATAGCTGCGTGATAGACTGACATACCTACAACAACATTCAACTCAACTGGTTGTGTAAGTGGGGGAGGCACAGAGTACATAGCATGGTCATGAACCCAACATCATCATCAGCAGCAGCAGCAGCAGCAGACATCATAGTGCAGGACAATTACCTAGCACCTACCTGAATGTCATTCTGGCCAGGAATACACTTTCATCCCCATGTTTGACTTGGTATGACATCATCAAACTCTGTTGGTATGATTTGTTCCTTGTATATATGTCACATGGTTTAGATCAGTCTAGCCTTGCTCCCAGGCTCTACTGAAAGAGGGGCGGTCGGGTAGCCTAGTGGTTAAAGCGTTGGCTCGTCACGCCGAAGACCCAGGTTCGATTCCCGACATGGGTACAATGTGTGAAGCCCATTTCTGGTGTCCCCCGCCGTGATATTGCTGGAATATTGCTAAAAGCGGTGTAAAACCATACTCACTCACTCACTCACTCACTCTACTGAAAGATATGTCCAAGTCCTGCACCATGACTGGAATTTATATTTTTGAGGTGTTTTTTTTTTTTTACTGTAAGCCTGGGCAAGTCCAGATCAAACTAACCAAGTATAGTTTGCTTGATTCTGTTCTGAAAACAGCAGAAGTGGAAAGGTTCCTTCGAGGAAAAAATATAAAATTATTTTAAAGACATGTTTTCATTGACTAATTTTTAGTCTAGATAAGTCCATGGATGTGTAGTAATTCTATACTCCAGTCTGTTATAGGGAAAACTTGTTCTTATCTACATTATCTAGAAATTATGATTTAAACTAATAATTATTGCCTTGGAGACACCATGTGTATCAGTCATAGTCTGAGGGGATGAAGCGAGTTCATCATTGTCTTCATCTTATTTAATAATATAAATGTAGTGTGATTTGCAAACATTATTAAAATAATGTATGTATCATAAACTTAATAAATAATTAAGTTTTTGAATGGCATTTAGAAATGATACACATAAGGAAGATAATGCTAAAAGCGACGTAAAACCACACTCACTCACTCACTCACTCACTCACTCACTCACTCACTCACTCACTCACTCACTCATAATAAAGAAGTTAACATCCATAAATTCTCTTCCTTACTGAATAATTGTTTGTAATTTTTTTATGTTACGTCATAACATCGTCTTTCGGGACTTTATAAATATTGAAAGGATTAAAACTTAAATTTAGACGGCATGAATCAAAACATAAAAACAGTTCCGACCATAAGGACATGCTGATGACGCCCGTGAGGCAACAATAAAGGTCGTGATTCAACAGAATGTGTTTTTTAATACATGTGATGCCCTGTCAGGATTTATTGAAATTCACAGGTGTGAAAGCCTTCCAGACTTCATTAGGGGTTACAGAATGATGCCTAGGGTCGCCATAATAATTACCCACACTGCTCCACAGAGAGGGCGGGAGGAGGGGCTGTCTTATTCAGTTGTCGGACCAACGATGTAATTTGTGTGTGTTGCATTAGGTAAGATGGCTTATGGCCGCCTGTTTGATCTTCATGTTTTGCTGGGCTGAGGCTGTTCTTTGTCTGTGGAGGAGTTATTGGAGCGTGAAATCACAAGGAGAGAGCACACACCGAGGGGGGAGTCAAAGCCAGGGGGGTGGAGGGCATGATCGATTGAAGAAATCTCCATGACTTAATGTGCATGCTAAACGTTAAGGTGTGGCCATTGTTCTAGAGAAGAAAACACCTGGTAATCCAACTAGAAGTCTGAGCTTATTATGAATAAATGCAATAATATTTTTTCTTTCTTTTATGTTTTTATCTTTAAATCATACTTTACAAAATATTCTAAAAAACGTTTTAAGAGGTCCATGTAATAGATACATGAAAAAATAAATTGAAATTCGTTTATTGATACGTAAATGTTTTGTTTTGAATGAACAAGCTTTTTAGTTGTCATTTGTGATATGGACATAATTAGTCAAAGATATCTTCAATTGAATTGTTCTATTGGTATTCCCCCTGGGTACACTTGCCAAATCACTCGAGGGAATATTGTGTCGTGTCACCTTTCTGTACTCTAACATGACTGTAACCAAGCAGCAACTGCAGGATCCAGTGTCCACACCTCACGCCAGCCTGCCCTACCTCCTTCCACTGTCACCTGCATCAGAGGCCATGGGCTCCACTTAACTGTGCAAGCCTGACCTACTTCTCTACCGCTGTAGGCCAGCGGTGGTGACACCGCTATATATAGTGCAACTGGAGGCGGAGCTAGCCGTCAATCACAGGCAGGCCCCAGCCAGTCCACGGCCTCAGCCACAGGTTGGAGCAGTTGAAACTAAGCAGTGGAAGAGGCAGCACACAATAGCAGCTGAAGGTGTTCAGCTTTATTCCCTTCCCCATCACTGTCACACTGATCGTTGTGGGCTCACCCTAGCTGGGGATGTTTTACTGGATTGTACATCATTGTGGATAGTTGTGCCCGTGCTATACGAGAGATATCATACCGACTCTGTTATCTGGCTCTCCAGCGTGTATCTGGCACATGGCCTGTTTCTAGTGTTCCGCTTGGCAACTGATACCGAACTCTGTCACCGATTCTCTCCCATGCCAGGAAACCAGTCTATGAGTTTCCCCACACACTCCATCATCCTTCATCCTGTGAGTTCCCATGGATACTGGGTGCTCACTTAGGCTGGTCATACCCCCGCATGACTACATGTTTCACCAGGTAGGTTCCACTTCTCACTCTGGCCATCACTTATTTCGGTCTTACTTCACTCTGTAATCCTGACATCAGCCAGGATGAGCATCGGTATGATTCCTGCAAGCCTTGCTCCCACGGAGACTTTAGCAGACTTAGAGACCCATCCAGGCCATCTGTACAACACATGCTTCAACATCAATGGAATTCTAGAAAGTGTAACACATGTTGGTTAATGCTTGTACCATTTATTTGACATTCATCTGGATCTCGAATGAAATATGTCTTGCATCCATTGTGCATAAGGAAGGTGAGATGTGTAGCTTCCTATAACAGATGAGGACTGGCGACTGTCAGTTTGTTCACATGACTGTTCACATTGTGGTGTTCACATGACGGTGTTCACGAAGATCATCACATTCCAGAGAAGAAATACATGGGAAGAAAAAAATGAAATACCAGGAAATGATTTTTTATATCAGTTGTGATTATGATGTCATTTTGGCCACACTGTGTCTGCCAGCCTTTGAGTGGTATGTGATCACAGGTCTGAGGTACAAGTTTGTTTAGTTCGAGGACTAAACGTCTGTCTTTCAAGGACCTAGTTTTGCCAGTTGCACATGCTGTTGTGTGAACGGTGTACACTATAATGTTCCTTAAATTGTGCTCAGGGCCCTTGCTCACTTAAATCCATGTCATTATGTTAAACCTTTTTTGTAGGGTTTAGTATCAAAAGTGAGATGTGAGTATAAATGCTTGTCTGTGTCAATGTCAAAATTTTATCTTTTTTAAATAAATCTATAATATCCAAACTTCCATTACTATTGGAACTCATTTAATAACCTTGCTTGTAACAGACACTCAGTTACACCTACACAAGGAAGCAAACTTAGTACTGCAGATATGTTGCAACTAAATTAAATTATGATAGCCACGGTGCTATGATCAAACTTAGTACTGCAGTTATGTTGCAACTGAATTAGACTATGATAGCCACAGTGCTATGATTAATCTTAGTACTGCAGTTATGTTGCAACTGAATTAGACTATGATAGCCACGGTACTATGATCAAACTTAGTACTGCAGTTATGTTGCAACTGAATTAGACTATGATAGCCACGGTACTATGATCAAACTTAGTACTGCAGATATGTTGCAACTAAATTACACTATGATAGCCACAGTGCCAGGATCAAACTTTGTACTGCAGTTATGTTGCAACTTAATTAGACTGTGATAGCCACAGTACTATGATTAATCTTAGTACTGCAGTTATGTTGCAACTAAATTACAGGATGATAGCCACAGTGCTAGGATCAAACTTTGTACTGCAGTTGTGTTGCAACTGAATTAGACTATGATAGCCACGGTAATATGATTAATCTTAGTACTGCAGTTATGTTGCAACTAAATAGACTATGATAGCCACGGTAATATGATTAATCTTAGTACTGCAGTTATGTTGCAACTAAATTAGACTATGATAGCCACAGTGCTAGGATCAAACTTTGTACTGCAGTTATTTTGCAACTGAATTAGACTATGATAGCCACGGCGCTAGGATCAAACTTTGAACTGCAGTTATTTTGCAACTAAATTAGACTATGATAGCCACGGCGCTACCATCAGTTTGTGCAAGAGGAAGCATCCTGCAATCTCTGGGTAGCATCCACACCCTCTACCCCCTCTACCCCTCTACCCCCTCTACCCCACTGGGTGGATGTACCAGCTGTGGAGACTGTCATTTGCATATCTAGGCAGCCTGCTACTGTGCAGCAACCTGAAAAGTATGCAATCATAAATTCTTGATCAACACAAAAATAACGAAATGCAGCTTATATAGTTGTTGAGGCACTGTACAAGGAAATCATACTCGTTGGTGAAAGTGACATTCATTGTCTGTTAGACATAAGTATGTGAGTGCATGTTGAGTATTTGTGCAGGGAGATGAGGGTGTTGTTTTGTATGTCGTGGCTTTCATTTCCTTCCATGTTATCATACAGGTTTATAGATTGCAGGAGTTTCTAATCACGTCTTTTTGTTGCAGGAAATGGGCATTAAGGACGAATACCATCAGAAATCCATCCTGGTGTGTATAGACGAGCTGTGTGGTCAGAACTCGGACAATGTAAGTCAAACAGACAACTCAGACTATTTAACACCACCCTAGCCTAGATACAAAGTCACAACTGATGATAGGAACGCAACCCTTGGCTAGATACAAAGACACAACTCAGAATATGAGCACAGCCCTAGCCTAGATTAGACCTAACCCTTTAAAGAAAGAAATGTAACACATGAATAAACATCACAAAATATGCATTTGCTGCATAGCGATGTGCTCTATTTCTCTTGATATACATACGGTTCTAAAAAGGGCCAACCTCTCGGTTAAAGACTTGTGATGATCTAGACACATATGGAGTATGAACACGAGGGAATAACACACTTATGCCGAGAATATGGACAGCCTAGACTTGGGGTATAAATTTGGCTTAGAATAGAGGACAATAAAAAAGTCGGCTAATGTAATCAAGTTGATGAGGCTGTTTAGGTGATGCGATCGCTGGAAGCAGTTGTGTCGTGTCATGTTGAGATAAATCTTCTTAAAATAATCCGAGTAAAAGGCTTATCAAGTCTGGCAGCCATCATCCCAAGATGGCATTTCCTCCATCTTGGCAACTGGGTTCTGTTTTCATTATTCTTCATTTAGCAGCTCACCTACTTTGATTCTGCCGAGAATAACCCCTGAAATATTGCGTTTATTTTATCTCCCTAAATGTGGTGCGCTCAACATGACCATCTGCCTCAATTTACAAACTGTCTGCTTTTACTTCCTAACGATGTGTCTGCTTTTACATCTAAACTACACAGCTTTAAGCTTCCAAACTCGGCTTCTGCTTACTCCAAATAGTGTCTGCTTTCCGAAATCTTCCTTTTACCTGTGGTAAGGTTGAAGGCCGGTCAGGTCAAAGGCAACTTATACAGGGTCGAGTGGGAGCAGGGTCATTGGGGCAAATGGAGGCCAAGCTAGCCAAGCAGAACGCATTCATCAACCCAGTTTTGGGCTGTCAGACTGAGCGCCAGCTTGAAAGGCAAGAAAAGTCACCACCAGAGTGCCCGTGGTTACGAGGGCTCCAATAAAGATCCGGCTGTTGCCGCAGATGATTATCCCAGATAAAAGCCGCATACCAGACAACTGCTCATGAGTATTTCTGTTTTACCTGGCTGCAAACAATACATAGAAAGGATGCTGTACTATTATTTCCAGACATTTGGAGTTTTGTGGATTTGTTTTTTCTGGGTTTTTTTATGTTATGGGATCTGGTCATTTTTTTAACACAAACCTTGGGCAGGGTGGTTGAAAAGAGAAAGAAATTGTAGAATATTTTGGTTATGAGGAGAGTGTAAATAACTAAGGCATATCATTATGAAGAGGTTTCAAATACAAGTTTTGTGGTCAGCTTTTATCCCATGAGGCTATTCTATATGACAATCTGTTTGTAATCAAATCACTTCAATTCTTTTTATATAGCAATATTAAAAAAAAAATTAATTCAGTGTTGATATGATGATCATAAATTTGATTATTTTGAATATATATAATTGGCATCTTGATATTGTCAGAATGTACTTCATAAGGAATGCTGTTTCTGAAATATGGATTGAGTTCCTGGTGTTGTTTCCTCGATCACAAAATAAATTGTTTGCACTCGCAATGCTGATGACAGGTGTCCCATTTAAGGCCATCAAGCTCTAGGTAATGGAGCTATAGTACTACAGAATATTGTGTCTGAACTCATGATGGCTTATTATAAACATAACAATAGAGTAATGTCATATTGTTATTGCATACAGTACATTTAAGTCAAGTATGATATTGCCTTAAGTACATCACATTTAAGTCAAGTCTAATATTGCCTTAAGTACATTTAAGTCAAGTCTAATATTGCCTTAGTACATATAAGTCAAGTCTGATATTGCCTTAAGAACATCACATTTAAGTCAAGTCTAATATTGCCTTAAGTACATCCAAGTCAAGTCTAATATTGCCATAAGTACATCTAAGTAAAGCTTAATATTGATATCTATCATTTTTGGAGAACTCATTTGTGTCTGAAATTTGATATTTGCTGGTTAATTGGGTTTAATCATTTGGATTGTATATGCAATGATGCGTCTTTTAACAGGACTTTCATTGTGGGCCATTCAGGAGTATATTGTAACTAGTTTTAAATGTCAAGTACTTCAGGGAGCTTGGTATGGCTAATTACTTTGTGATTTCAACTTGGAGTAGATGGGGGTAGGTCACATGCAGCTCATGTTCCCGGGAGCAGTCTAGGTGGCGCTACAACAGGATGTGACCTTACTCGAGTTGATGAAGAAAACGTCAGAGCAACTAAAACTAACTAGTTGAAGACGGAAGCCCTAGAAACGTCTGTGCTGCTAACACAGGCTCTTGTACCATGCAACCTCGGAGGATTACATGTAGAAGAGCCTTGTGGCTCTGTCGCCGCCATGTAAGCTGCTTGATGGTGGAATAACCGTGTAGTTTCTTACAATATCTGTAGCGGATGGGAGGGTAGTCTAGCGGGTAAGGTGTTGGCTTGTCACACCGACAACCCAGTTTTGATTCCCGACAGTTGAAGCCCATCCTTGATTCCTTCGTGTCATATGGCTGGACTGTGATTTTACATCATATGTCTTCACTCCAGCTACACTTGTGGGTAGCCTAGCGGGTAAGGTGTTGGTTTGTCACACCGAAGATATGTTTGATTCCCTAAAAAGGAAGCCTTCCTAGGTGAACCCACTTAGGTTGGGCTGCCCAAACACCATTAAGCTATGTTCATTACTGTTAGTGTAGTGGACTCTAATGTTTTTCTTCTTCTTTTCAGCAACCATATGCCACCAGTCTTCCACCAGCCAACCAATGTGTTGATATGGAAGGTGAGTTTTCCTCTTTCAGACACTCGCATTTGCCCCAGTAATTCCACCTTTCTATGTAATTGGAATCAAGCAACGACTATCCCTGAAATGATTATCAACATAAGATATTTTCAGTGATTCACATCCAGTCACACTATTCATGAAATTTACTTTCCCCACAGAAAGATGTTTTTACTGCAGTAGTTCCGACAAATTCCTTAATTAATCTTTAGTTGAATTGTTATGTGCCAAGAAGGAACTTGGTTGTTTCTTTAAAGATAATATGTTCTGATCATCAGTCCTAAGAAATAACGGGAGGTGGGGCAGCCTTGTGGTTAAAGTTTGCCCGTCATGCTGAAAACTCGGGTTTGATTCCCCACGTCACAATGTGTGAAGCCATGGTTTTCCCCGTCGTGATACTGCTGGAATATTGGTAAAACCAGATTTGCTCATTCACAACTGAACAGCATTCCTTCATAACCTGAAATAGTCATGTGGTTTGTGTTTCTGATTGTTTAATGAGATTCGGTTGGGTTTTTTCCAGCTGATGCGTATTCTGCAGCATCATCCGAACACCGATTTGCTGAGTACAATTTCTCTTCCATGCAACGCTGTCATCTGTGTGATAAGTTCCTGTATGGCCTGGTTAGACAAGGACTGCAGTGTCGAGGTACGAGCTCCACATCCGTCTTCAGCTGTAATAATGACATCTGTAACATTTCTTGATAAAAATATTATAACATTCTTTCATTTCATGATATTGTATAAATTTAGCATTGCTAATTAGTAACATTTTATGATTTAGAAATTGTTTGGACATTTTTGTAAATATCTTATGTGGTGATTGTATGTAGTTGATATTTGCATATAAGTTTTCATCATTAGTTTAATAATTAAGTAATAATTAAATTGCAAGTGAATCAATGGTAGTTAATTTGCCAACCTAGTAATTGTTTTTGAGTTTGTTTTCATAAACCAAATAAACCCATGAGGCCACAGCCACTAACAGACTGATTGGTTGATGTTTGAAGAGATGAAGTTACGAGTGCAAGTGACATTGAGTTTACTGTTTGTTTCCAGAGTGTGGACTATGTTGTCATCGGTTTTGCTCAGCCCAGAGACCCACAGAGTGCAGTGTGCCCAAACTCGAGCAGCTACGGAGACCCAGCTTCTGTCAGAGTAAGTCCCTATTGCTCTATTGGTTTTTGGGCCGGTCGGGTAGCCTAGTGGTTGAAGTGTTCACTCATCGGGCCGAAGACGCGGGTTCGATTCACCACATGGGTACAATGTGTGAAGTCCACTTCTGGTGTCCCCTGCCGTGATATTGCTGGAATACTGCTAAAAGTGGCGTAAAACAATACTCACTCACTCACTCTATCCGTTTTTCATATTGGTGGTAACTCCATCACTCTATCCTTTTTCTGTTATTGGTAACAGACTCTTTGTAATTTATCCATAAATATTTCTGTGATTTGTGAAATATTTAAATTCAAACAATAGTTGACTTTTTCTGTATTTTTTTATGCCTTTAGTTTCCTAGTGCCCAGTGAGACTGGTTGTGTTGTATGACTGTATGTGTGATTTGATTGTTTCAGACTCCGTGTTCGGGAATGAGTTGACAGAGGAGGTGACCAAGTCCCATCTGTGTGTTCCCTGGGTGGTCGTCAAGTGTATTGAAGACATTGAGAACTGGTGTCAGGACCACAGTAAGTCCACACTACGGTAGCAATCATAGTGGGGAGCAATCATTGTTGGAAACAGTCCTCGTGGGGAGCAATCATTGTTGGAAACAGTCCTAGTGGGGAGCAATCATTGTTGGAAACAGTCGTAGTGGGGAGCGATCATTGTTGGAAACAGTCATAGTGGGGAGCATTCATTGTTGAAAACAGTCATAGTGGGGGAGCATTCATTGTTGGAAACAGTCATAGTGGGAAACTGGGTAACTTAAATGATAACTTGTACCTCAGAATTTTAAGCAGAAAATCACAAACTCTTTGATTTGCTTTTATATGATCTAAAGATTTATGGGGGATATAAATATATTTCTCAGGTTAAAAAGAATTATTTCGATGTTCATCCGAATATGAAATGCATTTTAGCTGAAGTGTCCATCATTCTCTTTCAGAATCTGAAGCTTTAAGTGTGTACAGAATATCAGCCAAGACCGAGGACATCAACGAAGTGAAGGCAGTCTTTAACATCGGTAAGTCATTGTTCCGTTTCAGGTTCATATATTATTTAATAAATGTTAAAAAGAGAAACATTAATTATTCAAATACCTTGACAGTATATTTATGTAGCAATTTTTGTGATGTTGCAGGTGACACAAGTCAGCTGAACCTGTCGTCCTACAATGTGCACTGTGTAGCAGGTGCCCTCAAGAAGTACCTGCGGGAACTGCCGAACCCCGTCATCCCAGTAGAGATGTACAGCGCCTTCATCGGGGCAGCAAGTGAGTGGCCGAACCATCTCTGTTCAGTCTTTGACACACAAGCAATGTTCATTACAATTTGTTCATTCAGGATAGGTGTGATGAACATTAAATTGGTTTTATCTTTGTTTTTATGTATTTTTTTATATTTAATAATTGCACTCAAATCTTCGAGTAGCATTTAGAAGTTGAAAGAACATCATGACATTTTCATTGATGACCTCATTTTTACCCTATCATGTTTATATATAAACTCAGTGCACTTCGGTATTCACCTGATAAAAGGGCAAGAAGTAGGCTTGAAACATTACAATATCACATCGTATAATAATTACAAAAGTATTTAGATCCTTGAATGAATTATATGCTCACTAGGAACTCACGTCAAGAATAAAACTAGCTGTTGATATATTAGATTGAGATTGATATCTATTTTGAGCTTGTAAAGTTCCTGACCTAACTGTTTCCCCTTTTTTTGTCAGAAAACAAAGTGGATATCATCAAGTCTCTGCTGGACCTGATTGAAGAACTGCCGCCTCCCCACAAGTCCACGCTGGCGTACCTCATGGGGCACTTCTGCCGTTTGTGGCGCTTCCAGCACGAGTCAGGCGTTGTGGACGGCCTTGACAAGTTGTCTCATGTCTTTTGTCACATACTGCTCCGGCCTCCCTGGGAAAAGATCATGTGAGTTGCTGATATCGGTCATGTGACACAAGTGTCAGTTTAACATGTCAGAGGGGCGGTCGGGTAGCCTAGTGGTTAAAGCATTCGCCCACCACACCGAATACCGGGGCTCAATTGCCCTAATGGGTACAATGTCTGAAGACCATTTCTGGTGTCCCCCGCCATGGTATTGCTGGATATTGCTAATAGCGGCCTTAAACCATACTCCCTCACTCAATCAGTAACATATCAGACTAATGTTTAGCTGCCTGTGGGCAATACGACAAAATGTCATATGATCCTGTTTTAATTAATAGCTTTAGGTTTACTGTGTCGATTGATACTTTCTTAAACTTTTAGCTTTAGTTGAAGAAATATGTTGGAAATAGACTAATTTATGCTGATTATTTGGTTTTTGTTTCAGAGAGATTGTCGACAACACAAAGACGCACATTGACATCTTTGAGGAGCTTCTGCGTAATGGCAGTTGGGGCGAGGTCATCCCCCCCATCCCATCACCGCCAGTCGTTCCCCCTCGTATTCGGCCATTGGAGCATCCTGCAACTGTGATGTCCCCTTTGACCCCGGAGGAGCGGGTGAAGGAGGCGGAGTGGTACTGGGGGGACATCTCCCGGGAGGAGGTGAACGAAAAGCTACGTGACACCCCCGACGGAACCTTCCTTGTCAGGGACTCCGCCACGCCCGGAGACTACACCCTAACATTGAGGTGAGGAGATGTGCTTTGTCACACGTTTAGGGGTCGGGGAGGCTACACCTTAACCTTGAGGTGATGAGACATGTTATATCACAGCCTTGTGGTTGATATTTGACTTTTCATGTAACAACTCAGGTTTAAATCCCAAAGTGGTATGGTGGCTCATTGTAATAATGCTGTAATGAGAATCAGTGTAATACATCTCACTCAGTCCTTTGGTATAAAAAAATGTTCCGTGAAGATTCCGGGTTAGGATAGGTGTAAGAAGCGACTAACAGGGTCAGGTGGTCAGGCTCGCTGACTTGGGTGATGCATGGCATTGTATATCAGTTGCGTAGATCAATGCTCATGACATCAATCGATTATTTTCAGACCGCCATCATTTAGCTGGAATATTGCTGAGTGCGGTGTTAAAAAAAAAGAAAGAAAAAAAAGAGTGGTATCAAATGCAAGATGATATAAATAATTACATAGACAGGAGACCAAGAATAAGGTAATATGTGTCAACTTGACTTCCCTGTCTCCACTCATATGAAGATATGACATGATGTAACTATGCATCTGCAGGAAGGGAGGCAGCAACAAGCTCATCAAGATCTACCATCGAGACAAGAAGTATGGGTTCGTGGAGCCCCTGGAGTTTAACTCTGTGGTGGACCTGATCCAGTACTACCAGAACACGTCGCTGGCCATCTACAACCGCACGCTGGACATCAAGCTGCTGCACCCCATCACCCGCGGCATGGGCCCAGTGAGTACCTCCTTCTACACTCACTCACTCACCCGTGAAGATCCGGGGTAGAATAGGTCTTCAGCAACCCATGCTTGCCATAAAGGGTGACTATGCTTGTCGTAAAAGGCGACTAACAGGATCGGGTGGTCAGGTTCGCTGACTTGGTTGATGCATGTCATCGATCCTAATTGCGTGGATTGATGCTCATGATATTAATCACTGGATTGTCTGGTCCAGACTCGATTATTTACAGACCACCGTCATATAGCTTGAAAATTGCTGGGTGCGGCGTTAAACAACAAACCAACCAACCTTCACTCACTCTGTCGGTCATCTGCTTCCTGCGTAAGGATAAGATATATGGATGAACAACTTCTTTATTACAATTAGGAGCGATGTTTCGTGTAGGTTGCTTGATAATGGTGTTAGAACTTACACCCATACATCACTCCTAATTGTAGTGAAGAAGTTGCTCTCCATATGTCTCATCCTTACTTAGTAATATGACAATGGCGCTATGTGTATGACATTGATTGTTCTGCATAAGAATGTCTGTGATTGTCTGGACAATGGTATGACATGTCTGTGATTGTCTGGACAATGGTATGACATGTCTGTGATTGTCTGGACAGTGGTATGACATGTCTGTGATTGTCTGGACAGTGGTATGACATGTCTGTGATTGTCTGGACAATGGTATGACATGTCTGTGATTGTCTGGACAATGGTATGACATGTCTGTGATTGTCTGGACAATGGTATGACATGTCTGTGATTGTCTGGACAATGGTATGACATGTCTGTGATTGTCTGGACAATGGTATGACATATCTGTGGTTGTTTTTCTGTGAGTATGACATGTCTGAACAAAGTTATGCCATATGTTGACATGTTTGTGATTGGTCTCCAGGACAACGGTATGACGGAAGATGTGAGCAAGGAGGTGAACAACTTGATCCAGATTAACAAGGAATACCTTGAGAAGACCACATCCTACGACCGTCTTTACGAGCGCCACTCCAAAACAGCCCAGGAGCTTCAGATGAAACACCAGGCACTGGATGCCTTCAAGGAAACGCTGCTGGTCTTCGAGGAACAAATGGACTTGCATAGGAGATTTCACAAAGAGGCAGCTCCACATGAAATCCAGAAGTAAGTTGGAGTGGAATTGTTGCCATACCTTTCTCAGATGCTCATTTCTCCCAGTGTCACATATATGTGCATAGTCTATTATTCCATGAAAGTCCATTCAGATCTGATGAGAAATAAGCTAGGCAATTGGAGAAAATGTTAACTCCACAGACTGAGTTCAGTATCGGAAGACTTTGTGTACCTCACCATCAACCAACCGTGTCATTTATTGACCCGGAGACTCACTCACTCACTCACTCACTTGGGTTAGAATAGGTCTTCAGCAACCCATGCTTGTCATTAGAAGCAACTAAAGGGATCAATTGAACAGGCTTGCTGACTTCGTTGATGCATGTCATCGAATGCCAATCACTAATTGATGCTCATGTTGTCACTGGATTGTCTGGTCCAGACTCAATTATTTACAGACTGCCATCATATAGCTGTAATATTGCTGAGCGTGGCGTTAAACAATAAACAAACTGTGACAATATTTGTAAGAGTTGCCCTTCTTCCTCAGACTGCACGAGAACCTGGAGCTGCTCAAGTCTCGATGTCTGGGTATTCAGGAGAGCAAGAGCGGCCTGGAGGTCGACATCAACAGGAAGTCCAGTTACAACCGCTCACTAATTAGTGAAATGAACAGTTTAAAACCTGAAATAAAACGTTTATATCGTCAACGAGAACAACTTAAAAAGTGGTTGATTGATCGTGGCAAGCAGGCAGACTTCCTGGACAATCTGTTGGAAGGGAAGAAAGAGAGGTGAGACTGTCACTGATTTTCGTGTATCTTGTCAAAAACTATCTCATAATATCATGATCAAATTGACATATTTTTTTCTCTTTCTGTATTTTCTTGGCAAAAACAATTGTAATCTCAAAGTTAAAGTTCATTGTTTAATGACCTTTGCCCTTTGACCTTTAGTGTGTGTGACCCCGCGCTGGAGCCGGAGTACAATCTACCCAACCATGATGAGTCAATGTGGCTTGTGCACTGTCATCGGGAGAAGGCGGAGGACATGCTGAAGAAGCGACCGGATGGGACGTTCCTCATCCGGCCCAAGAAGGAGGAGGGGAATGTGCATGTTTTGTCTATTGTGTGAGTAGCTCACTTTGAAGCCAATATGTGTCTGAATTAAATCAAGGCGTTCCTGTCATAACCCTTATTTACAGTTTAATAAGATCCTGAGATGCGGTACAGGCAAAATCTCCATTAATGTCTAAGACTGAAGTAGGAATACCATGTAAAGTACTCTTTATATCAATCAGTTCAGGTTTCTGATGGAAAAACAAACATCCAGGTATTCTTAACGTTAAATATTTGAAATTGAAGATCTCTTCCCTTGTCACATCAAATTAACCCGACATGGTTTGTGTGCTTAAAATTACACGAAACTGTTTTATAAACAGTTTTTTCAGATGGAATGATGTATTAGTTTCTTGTATAACGTTTAACCTTTACCTTCTTCTTGCTGCAGGTTTCGTGGGAAGGTTGGACACTGTAAAATCTACCACAGTGAATCAGGCTACGGCTTCGCGGAACCATACTTCATTTTCCAAACACTTAAAGACTTGGTGTCTCACTACCATAAGACATCGTTAGCTGAACATAATAATGACTTGGATGTCAACCTTATGTACCCGGTGCGAGCTCCACCTCTTTCATCAGAACCTGTGTACTTGCGAATGCATACGCCGTGAGTCCGTGCACTTACAAGTGTTGTGTGAATGTGTAGAGTGACGGTCCACATTGAAGAGGAGTTGTCTCCCCTTGTGTCAGCCATTTTTTTGGAGGATGTAGAACAGTGAGGATGTGATACCGGAGAGCTTTGAAGACATGTCAGCGAGACAATCCATATTCAGAATGGCGTTTTAGCATGCAAGTTTGTCATGGATCAGATCCGATGTGTTGGACAGGATGTACGTGAACTCCATTGGTGGCTAATGGTGAAGCTGTGTGCGCATCAATCGCTTGACACAGTGCCCTCTGGGTACACTTTGTGATATTCTCATAAAAAAAGTTGAACTATTTTGCTAAATGCTTTCACAACATACTACTGATGTTATATATTGAGTGAGACTCTACAAGACGGGAACGCCTGTTCCCGCGCCCGTCATAATAACTACGTATGCCGTGTTCTCCTAGATATGGACCCAGTGATGGCCGACGTGTAGTGATGCGTGGTCGTACAGTGAACGTTATACAGGACATCCACACCACACAATAAAATATGTGATAAACAAACTCGAGGGCCAGCCGACTGGGGGCAGCGGGGTGGCGGCATCACGGCTTGATGCGAGTGTAGAGGCTTAGAGAACTGTGTTCTAACTACTTTCAGGGATCACTACGGTGCAAGCAGGCCCGACTCTCCAGCCGGCCGCATCTTCACACAGTAACCATGGTAACCTGTGGGTTCAGCTGTGGTCTCCCAGCTCTGCTGGACTCCTTTCTAACACTATATTTATTGTAGACTCCCTCGGCTTTAAGCTGAAATGTGTTCTTACCAAAATACAGAGCACTTCTTGGTCTGTGTTCTTGCAACTGCTAGGTCTATTTGTCCTGAGCCAGCTTCTCGACTGGTTTGTGCTATCGTGTTCTCCCATTAAACCTTCTGCATGTAAATGTGCTAACAAAAACTGACAGAAATGGCAGACAATTTGTCCCAGAAGCCAAAGATTGCTTTGTGTTAATTCAACTGGATTCTTTAAGCCTGTGTTTCTGTTGTATCAAACTGATTTCGTATTCATGGATTCATCTGACAAATGGCATATCATTTCAGTTATTAAATATTTGTTGACAAAATGGACCATATTGCATTCACAAATCAACAATAGAAGCTTCAAGATGGAGTAAATCATATAGACTATTTTTACCAAAATTTTCATATTCTATTAATATATTGTCATATTTCCTATATCATGACTTTCCCAACATGCTCTTTCTCCTCACAAAGAATGACAAAGCAGTGCCTTTAAGTGCCATCTAATTTATTATGACATATTTATACCTGGAATAGGAACATAAACACATCTCTTTTATTTTTCAATAAAACAATTCTTGAAATTATTTTTTCAATGATTCAAATTTGGATGAAAATGAAATTAATTTCAATAAAATATTTTAGAAATATTTGTAACTCATGTTAATAATATTGTCAAACATGTGCAATAAGAAAGAGACTTGTTCTAAAGCGAAGATGAATTGTGTAGTGTTTAATGTTAAGTCAATGGGCTATATCTGTGTCCTTCAACCTTTGTCAGATCATCATCTTCTTGTGTTCATGTGAGGGCCGCATAAACCATCTCTAGTCACCAATCATTGATGCCACTTTTCACTTGCAGCATAACTGCACTCGTAGTAGCCTACCCTTCATCTCCAGCAGTGGGCTGGTCCTCCTCAGTGATGGACAAGTCCATGTTGGGAAAAAGGGGTGGTGGCTTGTTTTGTCAGTCTATTACCATGTACATAGCATAATGAATTCTACCAAACTGTTATGCCTGCAGGACTTTCCCGCATTGTGCCTCAATCATACTGTACAGGTAGCATGAAGCTGAATATTATGACATGATGAAGATACATAAAATATGTTGAAATAAATCTTGTTTTGTTGTCTCTTTAATGGGCGACCGCCTCCAATGGTCTAGTGGTAGAGCGTCCGCCTAGAGAGAGGAAAGTCTGGGGTTCGATTCCCGGCAGCGTTGTACCAAAAGATGTTAAAAGATGGTACTTGTTGTTACCCTGCCTGGTGCTCGGCATTAAGGGGCTAAACAAGGACTGGTCGGCTCAGAGTCAGTATACTGCACCTGAGTGAGTATTCATGTTAACTGCGGCATGGTATCTCAGTGGCCTAGCAATATAAATCAGCATCAGTCTGGACAAGTACAAGCAGACACACACACGTGCATGCACATTGCCATATAAGTGCAATAATCTTGGATGCGACATAAAACCCCATTTCACCTCACCTCACCTCTTTGATGGGAGAACCTACTCTCCATTAAGGAATGTTCAAAATGGAAGAATCAGCCTGTAGGCATGGGGAATAGCCAAGTGGTCCATTTGTTTGTTCGTCACAGATGTTGCACTTGCATAGCAATGCCCATGTGTGCGCGGGCCATGCAACAGTTTAACATGAATACCCAACTCAGACACAGTATACCGACTCCGAGCCAACCAGTCCTTGTCCCATCCCCATAATGTCGTGCACCAGGCAGGGAAACAACAAGTACCATTTTTTGGTATGAAGTGGCTGGCTGTTGAACCCCCAACACCACAGGGCTGGCTTGTGAGTGCATACCCTGTTTATCCTGCCTTTGAAAGGTATTGAGAAGTGATACAGAGAAGGAAGATCATTTATGGACTTCTTTGTTTTGAGGAACACAACATCAGGTAAGTGAAGGAGTTAGAATATACTCCGAAATGTTGTGTTCCTCATAATAAAGAAGTTGACATCCATAAATTCTCTTCCTTCCATGTTTACCCTGGTCCATATATCAGTGTGCGGTCCAAACTGCATTCTCTGCTCCCTCGGGTAGTTTGTGGGGTGTTCGGAGTGTTGCGTCTCATCGTAACGGACTCTGCTCAGGTGCATCAGGGCGGTCGGGTAGCCTAGTGGTTAAAGCGTTCGCTCGTCACGCCGAAGACCCGGGTTCGATTCCCGACATGGGTACAATGTGTGAAGCCCATTTCTGGTGTCCCCCGCCGTGATATTGCTGGAATATTGCTAGAAGCGGCGTAAAACCATACTCACTCACTCACTCACTCAGGTGCATCAACTCACTCTGATCACATACATCCCACAGTTTATGACATCCATGTTCAGTCATAAGTTGACTTTTGAACATGCAGTAATGTGGATAGAAACCTGCATCAAACTGTCAGAAGTCAGTAGGAAGTTTAGACTCTTTAATGTTGCTGAAGGCAACCAGGAACTCTCATATCCCAACTGCCAGATTGGACTCTCCAAGTAGGGCAGCTTTGCTCTGGAAGTCTGTCTGCTAGCATCTGGGCAGAACTGCAGTATGCTGTCTAGTAGACAGCACTAGAGTCTGTCTGCCGCCAACTGGGCATGCTGCAGTCTGCTGTCAAGGAGACAGTACTAGAGTATGTCTGCCGCCAACTGGGCACGCTGCAGTCTGCTGTCAAGGAGACAGTACTAGAGTATGTCTGCCGCCAACTGGGCATGCTGCAGTCTGCTGTCAAGGAGACAGTACTAGAGTATGTCTGCGGCCAACTAGGCACGCTGCAGTCTGCTGTCAAGGAGACAGTACTAGAGTATGTCTGCCGCCAACTGGGCATGCTGCAGTCTGCTGTCAAGGAGACAGTACTAGAGTCTGTCTGCGGCCAACTAGGCACGCTGCAGTCTGCTGTCAAGGAGACAGTACTAGAGTATGTCTGCCGCCAACTGGGCATGCTGCAGTCTGCTGTCAAGGAGACAGTACTAGAGTCTGTCTGCCGCCAACTAGGCACGCTGCAGTCTGCTGTCAAGGAGACAGTACTAGAGTATGTCTGCCGCCAACTTGGCATGCTGCAGTCTGCTGTCAAGGAGACAGCACTAGAGTCTGTCTGCAAATGGGCATGCTGCAGTCTGCTGTCAAGGAGACAGCACTAGAGTCTGTCTGCAAATGGGCATGCTGCAGTCTGCTGTCAAGGAGACAACACTAGGATGGTATTTGCAGACTTGACAAGGGTGGTATATTTGCACCTGTTAGTCAGCACTTAGGACAGGTGTGGTATATTTGCACCTGTTAGTCAGCACTTAGGACAAGGGTGGTATCCTGGCACCTGTTAGTCAACACTTAGGACAGGTGTGGTATAATTGCAAATGTTAGTCAGCACTTAGGACAGGTGTGGTATATTTGCACCTGTTAGACAGCACTTAGGACAGGTGTGGTATACTAGCACCTGCTAGTCAGCACTTAGAACAGGTGTGGTATCCTGGCACCTGTTAGTCAACACTTAGGACAGGTGTGGTATATTTGCACCTGTTAGTCAGCACTTAGGACAGGTGTGGTATATTTGCACCTGTTAGACAGCACTTAGGACAGGTGTGCTATACTAGCACCTGCTAGTCAGCACTTAGGACAGGTGTGGTATGCTGGCACCTGTTAGTCAGCACTTAGGACAGGTGTGGTATACTGGCACCTGTTAGTCAGCACTTACAACAGGTGTGGTATCCTGGCACCTGTTAGTCAGCACTTAGGACAAGTATGGGATACTGGCACCTGTTAGTCAGCACTTAGGACAATGGTGGTATATTTGCACTTGTTAGTCAGCATTAAGGACAGGTGTGGTATATTTGCACCTGTTAGTCAGCACTTAGGACAGGTGTGCTATACTAGCACCTGCTAGTCAGCACTAAGGACAGGTGTGGTATACTGGCACCTGTTAGTCAGCACTAAGGACAGGTGTGGTATACTGGCACCTGTTAGTCAGCACTTACGACAGGTGTGGTATCCTGGCACCTGTTAGTCAGCACTTAGGACAAGTATGGGATACTGGCACCTGTTAGTCAACACTTAGGACAGGTGTGGTATATTTGCACCTGTTAGTCAGCACTTAGGACAGGTGTGCTATACTAGCATCTGTTAGTCAGCACTTAGGACAGGTGTGGTATGCTGGTACCTGTTAGTCAGCACTTAGGACAGGTGTGGTATACTGGCACCTGTTAGTCAGCACTTAGGACAGGTGTGGTATACTGGCACCTGTCAGTCAGCACTTAGGACAGGTGTGGTATCCTGGCACCGGTTAGTCAGCACTTAGGACAAGTATGGGATACTGGCACCTGTTAGTCAGCACTTAGGACAAGGGTGGTTTCCTAGCACCTGTTAGTCAGCACTTAGGACAGGTGTGGTATCCTGGCACCTGTTAGTCAGCACTTAGGACAAGGGTGCTATATTTGCACCTGTTAGTCAGCACCTAGGACAGGTGTGGGGTACTGGCACCTTGTCTGCCTCGGACTGATCAAGTATGAGGTCCAACTCAACTTTACTGTCTATCTACACATGTGAGAGGTTATCTCATAATACTTGGCACCAACCTTCACAACCCACGCGTATGCGTGCATTCGTCCTCACTGTAACACTTCTACCACAGCCAAAAGACCCAAGGAAGCCGCCACCTACCGCTACAAATACCCCTATCAGTCATCTCCGACAACAAACTACATTATCTAGTCTGGAAGTCCATTCATTTCTTCAGGTGGTCTCAGACCCTGTGACGCCCACGTCAGTTGAGATAGAGTGCAGCCTAGTGGAATCCTTGACCACGTCTATGTATGTTGCTGCCTGCAGGCAAACACTAATTAACGCTGAGAGAGCAGTGAGGTCGGGGGGACCTGCACGCACCTTTAAATCATTTAGTACCCTCCAGTTTAAAATTACCCAAAGCTGAGGTATTTATATAGATCTAATATCATCGTTGTTAAAATTGGGGCTTTAGATGTGCCAAAGGAAGGAGTTGAATTATTAACTGGGTAAATCTGATTACTCAGGGCAGAATGCATGCAAGCAAAAAAAAACTCTCACTGGGTCAAGTTGGAGTGGGAGCTAGCCTTGCAGCCAGCCATCATCTGCACTGGTTGGACTTGAAAGGAGAGACCTTTCCTGTTGATCTTTGCTCATAATGGCAATACTTCATTTCGCTCCCGGGAATTCTGTTCACATCTAAAAGGGCTAACACGTTATTAGATGTAAGTAATTGTAAGAATGAGTGAGTGAGTTGGGTTTAACGCCGCTTGGAACGTTATTCCAGTTACATCACGGCGTGTCCGCTTGATGTGTGAGGAAAGCCTGAAGTGAAGTGTATTCATATGAGGGGTTCTGAGCCTACCTATGATGGACTGTGTAGATGGAGTTGGTTGGTAATTAGGTTCCGACTTAATCCCCTCCGATTCCCACACACCTCTGCCAACGATGCTGGAGTACCTGGATCCCGCTTGTGTAGAAGGATTCCTCCTGGTGGCGACAAATATCCCCCAAAGCAGAAATGGCATCATCATCATTCTCATCTGCATTATGCTTGCCAGCAGAGACTAAAATACATTTATTTTATGGTCTCTGTTGCCAGTCAGTTCTTTCTTCAAGTTAGGGAAGAGGTCGGAATCTGACGGTTGACAAATCTGGTGAATACGAAGGATGTAGCGTGTCACAGTCGCGCATTCCAGGCCTGGCGACAGCCGATTAATGCACAGGTGGGTTAGAATACGTCTTCAGCAACCCATGCTTGCCATAAAAGGTGACCATCCTAACGGGATCGGGTGATCAGGCTCGCTTACTTGGTTGATACATGTCATCGCATCCCAATTGTGTGGGTCGATGCTCATGATATCAATTATTGGATTGTCTGGTACAGACCGCCGTCATATAACTGGAGTATTGCTTAAACAACAAACACAGCAGTTCACTGGTGCCTTGTACCTGGTAGTTTGACACACCTTTAGTGGGCTGTCCACGAATCCCAAAAAACCAAAGCTATCACCTTGGCAGTTGATGGAACAGACTTTGCCTTCTTCGGAGGAGGAGACGTTTGATGTTTCCACTTCTTTAACTGTTGTTTAGTCCCAGGCTGATAGTGGTGAACCCCAGACCCATCCATGG